CGATTGCACCAATGATTGTCAAAGTTGTGATTCACCTGAAAGCTTTTATGGGGTTTGCAACAAGGGTTTGGAGGGCTCTCACTGCTGAATTTAAATCTTCCTTATGTAAATCTTCCTAGCCCTCATGTGCTGCTCATCTGCTGTATTTGTTTATACTCGCCAATCGTATGAATGCCCCGAGCGTCGTGCCACCTCCACCACTCTTTCAATTCACACAGATGTGCCGAGTTTTTTCGGCGGCACGTAGCTCACTAAATTCTCCTCCGTTCTTTAAGAACAGCTACAGCTGCACCGTTTTTCCGTCGTGTCGACGGCTTCATTCAGTAGTGCGTCGTCGTTGATGAGCACGTGCTGCTGCTTGCGCAGCGCCAAATTTGATACGATCCAAGCTAGTCTCCGTGGCACACCAGCACCACAGGCGTCCCGCCGCCCACTCAGGGTCCATCTTTAGCACGCGCAATCGCTCGTTGCCACCACTAATGTGGGTCATTCCAGTGTTTGCCTTCGTCTCTGCCTCATATTCGTGCCTGAGAGCACCTTCTATGTGCTCTGTTGACTTTTACGCTGTTCTGTTCCTTAGCATGCCAGAGCCAATATTGATCAATGGTCTTATCATCATCATCATCATCAAGTGCCTTTATCCAGTCTATTCAGTCTTTACCACTGCAAAACAATTGACATCATTCTAAAAATTCCACAAGGTTAGCGTCCGAACAAAGCTGCTTTTTCTCAATGTTTTTTTCGTTGGAAGATGCGCCGGACGTATTTTTTCAAAGCTTTTTTGCGCATTCCTGTCGAGCGTTCAGTGTTTCAACTTTCGTAAAGAGCTTTCTTTTGTTGTGTTATTATAGCCTCGCAAAACAGTTTTTGCTTCGTTTTTTTTCCAACTTTTTTAGAGGCTGGAAATTTTTAAATTCCGATTTGACTAATTTTACGAGGCCAACGAGATTACTTTTTATCAATATTGCTATGCCCTTGACTATCTTCTCTAATTTATCTTCACTGTCATGTATGCACAAATTCTAAACAAATGACCATACAGATAGTTTTTGAGTAAGTGCCTCTATTCTTTCGCAAGGTAAAGGATATGCATGTGTCCACCACAAAAACTTCCACATTTTTCACCCCTCAAGGGTGGTGGCGGGTGCTTTGATCTCTGACCTCTCCTTATTCTATCTTTTATCTAATAATGTTGCTCCTAACCTCGAAATTCTTATCTTATCGTTATTTTCTGGAATGCTATAATGAGTTTTGTACTACAACTTTATATCTGTAATTTGGTTGCAATTTAAAAATTCCTTATATTTTTGTATATTCTGCTCTACCTCTCATCGATCGCGCACTCTATAAGGCAATGGACGAAGTTACTTCTCTACAGCCGAGAGCCTACATCCAAAATTTATTTCAAGAGGGATCGCTTCTTTTCTGAAAAACCGCTTAGCAATTTGCCTGTCACACTGGTTCGATACCACCTGTTGTTGACCGGACTGCCAGTGTTGGTAGGTGTGAGTATTGGAGATCTCCATGTTTTGTCAATACCTCACCCCCAGCACCTTCCGTGATTCTTCGATCTTTCATCGATTACAAATGGTTAGATTTGCTTCCACAACCCTGCGGCTCTACTCATCTCTTGAATTCTCGCTACTGAGTCATTTTCTCGAGCGAATGTTGTGACATGTGTCGACAAGTAGACATTTGCTCTTGATCCATTCCCTCGCGTAGTTCACACGCCTACTTCACACTCTTCCTGATATCTTCTGGATATATTTACACTTTTACACGTTATACTCTCTTTGTAGTGTATCACTGTTTATCTCATCAAATTTTTACTAAATTTTATATATATATACATTTCACAAAATTTCAAATTTTAACGCTTCTGATACCGATTTTTTAGACTCATCTCTATTTTTAAATCCACTCCCTCTCCCTTAAAATTAAATCTCCCCCGCCTTTTTTTTCTAATATTTTCTGAGATTCTTGGACTTTACATCCATTGATCAAATCCCTTTACTTACTTCCATATTTGTTATCCAGTAAAATGAGTTTGGAAGGAAGAAGAATATGCAAAACTAAATTGTCGTATAATCTCATGCAGCACTTTTCAAATGTGCTTCGAGCCCGATACCTATTCCAGTGTTTGAAAATGGTTGAGAGTTCCTCTTCACTATTGTCTTTCTGCAGCGTATGATATTGTTGCTCACTAGCTTTTTGTTCTAGTTGAACTAGAGGAAGCCAAGATGCCACATGGCACATGTCAAGGATACGTGAGGGAGTACTTGTAGAAAACTTGTTTGCTAGTGTTATTCGTTTTTTAGCCGTTTTCGGAAGCGTTCAAACTTGTCCCCTCCGATCATATTGTTTTCAAAATGTTTAAGGCTTTTCCAAGAAATATGTTCTTTCTCCTGGATTTTACTTTATATGAGTTTTCTTTGCCCTCTTTACCAACTTTTCATCAATTAATTTCGTTTTTCTCTTTTCCTTTCTT